AGTTCAAATCCACCAGCTACTCTAAGGGAGATGGATGGGCAATCTCCTCCCATGCAATTTACTGCCTCTGAAAACCTGCTGGAAGATCAGTTCTGAGCCAGTTCCAACTCAATGATAGACAATATAACAACTCATCTCAAAAACGTCTTAGGCTGTTGAGATTATGGTACCAATACCATGCTCCAGGTAGGCAGTTGAAACTTCAGTGAGATAATCTGACTTGTTTTAGCTATACATACCAGGAAATAGTACCTTTAGTACTGGAGTCTATAGCACATAATTGTAAAGATATAGGTGAGCAAGTAGAAGTGCCTGAACAAAGATCCTAGACATAATTTTCCACATTTTAACTCTCTTAGAATTGCTACCATGCATTCACTCAGTGTTTCTGACTGTTTCTTTTTCAGTGCAATCTGAAATGCAAATACCACATTGTAAGTTCTTGTGAAGAATGGAGTTAATGTAGGCAAGTGCCCAGCAAAATGCTGGGATCTGTATAAAGGAAGACTGATTTCGTTTTACAACATCATGGGCCTGTTTTATGTAGCCAAATCAAGAAGGGCAGATATACATTGCTTGTCAAAGAATACACAAAATATTTTTAGTAGATTCACAGTTTGATATTTCATTTCTTTTACTTTACCAAGTGTCTGTCTCTTTTCTCTGTTACCTGATAACCTTTACTCACAAAATGAGAACTCATCTACATATTAATGTATAAAACATGAATTTAAAAAGTAAAAGGTTTCTGTAAAAACAGGTCATTATTATGAAATTTTAAAAAATGTATTAAAAGTTGATTTATATTATGATTTACTTTATTCATGCAATTATTTCTATCCATTACCATGAGCAACCAAAAACTGATTATATATATAATTAAGGTTAAAGTGAACCACTCAATTTCTAAACACAGGCAAGACCAAAGCCAATTAGACAATTAAATTCACAAAAAATGTTTTCTCATGTTTAATTCTGAAATATGGAGTCTGAGTTACTGACAGCTTTTAGTAAAATAAGTTTTAAATGCTATTTTTTATCTGCATTTTCATATTATACAACTAAGTGTATATTACACACACAGAGAAATAAGGGACTAAGTAGCTAAATAACCAAAATTCAGCATAGAATATTAATATAATGCATATTGACTTGTAAATATATTAGATATACTTTGGTTTTCAGAAAACAAAGGGGTTAATTTTACTCCTGCTAATGAAAAATTATCAATTCTATTAATTGACCAGTTATTATTCTATGAGTTACTTCTCCATCTATAAGAAAGATTTTTAATTTTAATTTTAAAAAAACTGTAAGTTTCAACATAAGAAAATCAATCAATGTAATTCATCATATTAACAAAGCAAAGAACAAGAACCACATGATCCTATCAATTGATACAAAAGGCCTTTCACAAAATCAAACCTTTCCTGATTAAAACACTTGAGAACAGGAACTAGGCAAGGATGCCCACTATCACCTCTCCTATTGAATGTTGTACTGAAAATCTTAGCGATAGCAATAAGGCAAGAGAAGGAAATAAGAGGTATTTAAATTGCCAAAGAGGAGGTAAAATTA